AGTAAGCGATAACTATGACTAGGAGAGACATACACTATAATTGGAGAAAGAAGAATTTGTACTAGGCCATAAAGTATACTTAGGCATTCTAGTAGGGGTGCAACAGATAAAGGCATATAGGAGAGTGATCTGAGTTATTAGATAAAATTTTGAGATGCTTTTGCCTATCAGATTGGCAAAGATTTAGGGCTAGAATGTAGAGAAGCAGACACTTTCCTCTAATGATAGGAATACAAATTGGCAAAATCTTTTAGGTAGGATAATTTGGCAAGATATAATAAAATTTAAAGCATGTTGATCCTTTCCTCCAGTAATTTCATATCTAGGAATTAATTGCATGGGTGTGTATTCATGGAAATATGCAGTGTTGTAAATGTTCAAAGGCTTTTGTAAGATAGCAATTTTTCTTTCCTTGAAAGTTTAGAACTTAACCAGTGAATCATTTGGACCTGGCATTTTCTTGATGGGAACATTTTTGAGGATTGATTCAGTTACTTTAATGGCTATAGAGCTAGTTAGGCAATGTTTTTTTGTTTTCGTTTTCTATAGATTTAGCCATCATTTTTCATTTCCAGCAAGGTGGGTTAATCCAGAATACCTGGCCTGCCATAAATCACTTCATATTATAGTAACATTGAGTTCAAATCTACAAATGATTTTAACTGAAATTAACATTTTAAAAATCCCTCTAGCGTTTTTAATCTGAATGATTTAGGACTACATGAAATAAGTTTCTCATTTCTTACTAACATCATATATTTTATCTTTCAGCCCCAACTACAACCATTACAACTACCACAGTCACCACCAGCACTACAACCACCAGCAGCTATACCTGCAATCTGAAACCACTGACATCGCCTAAGATTAGTACTGTTCCAAACAATATTACTCCTATAGCTTCTACTTCAACTGTTAAGTAAGTGTATTTATTTGACTATTTACATGAGTTTCATTTATCATGTACAAGGTATTGTTTGCTTGTAGGGCTTCTGAATCGTATTTCAAAGTTAGATAAATGACTTAGAGACAAAAGAAAAAGTTGGAAAAAGATTTTCTGTTACTGAGAAAGTTGAACGACCAACAGTACTCCTTTGCCTTCTGAACACCTGTATAATTATTACTATTGAACAGTACTCCTTTGCCTTCTGAACACCTGCAATTATTACTATTACTCACGGTAGCCAGAGTCCTGGTGTAGCGCTGCAGGATAATGTATTGGACTGCAAGGTCAGTTTGAACCACAATGTTTCAACCCACCAGCCGCTCCTTGGAAACGCTATACAGGGTCACTATAGGTCAGAACTGACTCGACAGCACTTAACAGCAACAACAAAAATGATAAGTAGCTCTTATTGTACAGTTATTATATGCTTCAAAATATGAAAAATACTTTACACTTATTATATAATTTAACCTTCACATTCACACTATGAAGCTGGCATTATTTTGTTCCCATTTTATAGATGAGAAAACTGGAGTACATGATCACATATTTGTAATTGTGGAGCCAGAATTAAAATTTAGGCCGAAGAGCGCCAGAGCCTATATTTTTATATATTATGTTCCTCCTTAGAACCTGTTTGTTTGTTACTATACATGTGACCTTTGCCCCATGAAATGCACAGGAATCAAATTGACTGTATCTGTGGAAAGAGATGGTTGAAAAGCTCGATATCATCAGTCATATCATAAAAAGGCTAGGGAGCTACTGCAGAACAGAACATCAATTGCTCATATGCAAGTCCAGCTTGAAGCTGAAGAAAATGAAAACACATCCACAAGAACCAAAAGAGATCATTTCAAGAATACATTTGATGCATTGAACACTAGTGACCGAAGATTAGATGAGTTGTGGGATGACATCAAGAGCATCGTACATGAAGAAAGCAAAGGTCAACAAAAATACAGGATAGAAAAATGTATGTCAGAAGAGATTCTGAAATTTGCTCAAGAATATAGAGTGTCCAAAGAAAAGATGAAATAAAAGAGCTGAACAGAAGATTTCAAAACGTAACTTAAGAAAACAAGTTAAATTTTAAAATGAAATGTGCCAAGACCTGGAGTTAGAAAACAGAAATTGAAAGACACACTCAGCATTTCACAACCTGGTAAAGCTAAACAAAAAATTCAAGCCTCAATTTGAAATATTAAACGATTCTATGGGCAAAATGTTGAACATTGCAAGGAGCATCAAACAAAAATTGAAAAAATACACAGAATCATTGCACCAAAATAATGTGTCCATGTTGAACCATTTCAGGAAAGTAGCATGTAGTTAAGAACCAATGGTATTAAAGGAAAAAGTCCAAGTTGGACTATAGACATTGATGAAAAACAAGGCTCCAGGAATTGACAGAACAATAACTGAGATATTCCAACTAATGAATGCAGTGCTGGAAGTGTTCACTCAATCTATGCCAAGAAATTTTGGAAGACAGCCAGCGTGCCAACCGACTGGAAGAGATCCATACTTGGGCCCATTCCAAAGAAAGGTGATCCAACAGAATGCGGAAATTCAAACAGTATAATTATGTTACGTGCAAGTAGTGTTTAGCTGAAGATAATTCAAAAACAGTTGAAGCAATACATATATAGGGAATTACCAGAAATTCAAACCGGATTTAAAAGAGGTCATGTAACAAGGGATATCATTGCTGACATCAGATGGGTCTTGGCTGAAAGCAGAGAATACCAGAAAGATGTTAACCTGAAATTTATTGACTATTCAGAGGCATTCAACAGTAAGGGTCCTAACAAACTATGGATGACATTGCAAAGAATGGCAATTCCAGAACACTTCACTGTGCTCATGCAGAACCTATACTGTGCTCATGCAGAACCCTATATACAGTGTCGTTATGGATTGGAACCAACTCCGTGGCACTTCACAACAACAACTATATTTTGCTAACATTTAATTAACTCACCCCTCATGTGACAGCTTCATCTCTCATGCTTCAGACATGTTGTCAGGAGGGACTAATCCTTGGAAAAGAATATCACATTTAGTAAAATGGAGAAAGGGTCGTAGAAAAAGAGGAAGATCTGCAACCAAATGGATTGGCAGAGTGGTAGCACCAATGGGCTCAAACGTAGCAACAGTTGTGAGATTGGTCAAGGACTGGGCAGTGTTTCGTTCTGCTGTGCATAGGGTCGCTATGACTTGGTACCGCCTCAATGGCCCCTAACAACAACAACAATATGACAACTGGAACTGTGGTTGTCTTGGCAAGACCAGACTAAATAATTTCCCCACCCCTGCTCTATAAGGTTTCTAAGGAATGGCTGGTGAGTTGGAACCACAGACCTTGTGATTACCAGTCAAATGTTTATCCTACAACACCACACCAAAAGTCCTGTTTTTTTCATGTGGGTTAAAATTACTGTCTGATGTAATTTACTTTCAGCCTGAAGAACTCTCTTTAGTATTTCTTATAAGGAACATTAATTGGTGACAAATTCTATCAATTGTTGTTTATCTTGGGATGTCTTTATTTTACCTTTGTTTTTGGCAGGTTTTTTTTTTTATTATTATTATATAAAAGATTCTTTGTTGGCAATCTTTTTCTTTCTTTCTTTTTTTTTTTCTTTTTTTTTTTTTTTGCTTTCAGCAAGTTGGATAAATTATTCCAACTGCCTTCTAGGCTCCATAATTTCTGATAACAACTTTGCTGTTAATCTTATTGGGGTTCCCTTGTTGGTGATGAGTTGTTTGTTTGTTTTCCTGCTGCTTTCAAGATTTTCTCTGTCTTTGACTTTCATCATTTTCATTATGGTGCATCTGGGCATGAATTTCTTTGCATTTATCTTATTTGAAGTTCCTTGAGCTTGTTGACTATGGCATTTAATTTTAAATCAGATTTGGGAAGTTTTCAGGCATTATGTCTTTGTACTCATATGTTTGTTTGTTTGTTTCTGTTTCTTTCTCTCTTGTTGTAAACCAATTTTTGTCAACTCATTTCTAGCTCTTGGCCACCCAATGTGTGTCAGAGTAAAAGTATACACCATGAGTTTTCAGTGGCTAGTTTTTCAAAAGTAGATTATCTGTCTTTCTTATGAGGTGCCTCTGAGTAGAATCAAACCTCCAGCTTTTTGGTTAGAAGCAAAGCACATTAAGTATTTGCACCTCTCAGACATATTTGCACCTCTCAGACATTCCCCTCTCCTTGTAGTAGTCCTATCACTTGTATATTGGTGGGCTTAATGGTACCCTCTCCACCCCCCTATGCTCTGAAGCTGGGAAGAGGAGCTATTCTGGTGACTTACCCATTTTGGAGAGCTGCCTTAGCCCTTGACTGTGAGCTTTGAGTAGAGGTAGTCTTGGCTGCATCCACCTAAAATGGAGCTTACATCATGATGAATTGAAGGTGGTATGGCCAAGCGAATGGACAGATTTGTGTGGCTCAAATTACAGACTTCTGTTATTCCTACTTAGAGTCTGAGAGCTTTTCTTGAATAAATATTTCTTCATATGCTGTAGTTGTAGTGTGCCATCGAGTTGCTTCCAACTTGTAGCAGCCCTGTATAGGGTTTCTGAGGAGCATCTGGTGGATTTGAACTTCCAACCTTGCAGTTAGCAGTCCAGTGCTTCTCCAACAGCCAGCACTACAAGGGTAATTTCAAGAGCCTTTTTTTTTTTAAGGTTTTTATTGTGGATTGAGTGAAAGTTTATAGGGCAGATCATCAGTTTTACATTCAGCAAATCATACACTTTGTTTAATTACAATGATTGTAATTCCCTCTGTGTACCATAAGTTAACAGTATTTCTATCTATTCACTTTAGCTCTTTTTTTTTTTAAACACTCAGGCATATATAATAATTTACACCACCAAAGGGCACATTCTGCAAGTCTGCCTCTCAGTCCCTCTTTTCCCATGAATCTAAGTCCTCAGCTGCTTCCTCTCTCCATGTCCTCATCTCTGCCTCCATCTCTGCTATCATTGCTTCTCTGGATAAGGTCCCGCCTTCCACCCATGCTCTTCTCCCTTGATGGCCATGGTCCTGGTGTCCTCTGGTTCTGAACTGTAAGATTAACTATTCCCCCGTTTTTGTTAAAAAAACAAAACAAAAAAACTTCTACATTTACAATTGTGACAGTCACAATTAGTCATGATAGCAATTACTCACTATTGAATCATAAGACTCTTATCTCCATCTCTTTTCACCAGACCCATCTAGACAAGATGAAAATTATTCAGTGGGATTAAATTTGTTCTTGTTTGTTTGTTTTTACAATTTTCACGAGTTATGGTTGTTTCAGACTCATGGTGTGGCACTGTAGGATCAGCATTGAACAGTGAACCACAAGTTCGGCAGTTCAAACCCACCAGCTGCTCCTAGGAAACCCTATAAGGGTCTCTATGAGTCAGAACTGACTCGACAGCACTTAAGAGCACAATAACATGGTTGTTTTACTAGGATTCTTATCTCAAACTCCTGCTGTATTTCTGCCTTTTAAATAAAAATGTGGTCATATGCTATGCAGTTCTCTGTATCCTTTTATTTTTTAGTTCAATTGTAACTCCTCTGATGACTTACCGTAAGCTGGAGAGTCTGATAAGCCGTTGGAACCTTGAGCTAGAGAATCATGAGAAACACTTTCTTCATCATGCCACTCGGGTCAATGCTTGGGACCGTACATTGATTGATAATGGTGACAAGGTAAGACAGCTCAATAATCTACCTGCATTGTACATGTATTTTTCAATGAACACAAGAAAATAGACCTATTTTGAGTAGTTATTTTTCTATTCCAGTCTTGGATGTCAACTTATAAAGCTCTTCCTTCAATATTAAGTGCCCTGAATTAGAAAATCTTTCATATTTGAAGTGTATTTGAGAAATTTTATATTGCTCTAGAGTTATAATATATTTAAATTTTTATATTGATGCATTCTTTTTTTTAATAGATTATTACTTTACATGGAGAAGTGGAAAAAGTGAAATTGTGTCAGAAAAGGTAGAAGCTCTTTGATTTTCTAGATTGAAAGATCTCTTTGTGCATTTCCCCCACCCCTTGTTATAATTTATTGACATTTAGTCACACAAAGTTTCTTTCATCATTTCTTCTGGTTACTTGATTCATTCAGGTTGGAAACAGAATTGGATTTTATCCTGTCACAGCATAGTGAACTAGAAGATCTGTTGATCCCTTTAGAGGAGTCTGTGAAGGATGAGAGTGGATCGAACAATCTGCAATATGCAGTTGGGCAGCATGAGTGGACGTGAGTAACTGAATAAAGATGGAAGACTAGGATAAGGCTTAGCTTCTATGACAGCATTCAAAAAAGAGGGAAAAATGGAATTGGAAGGCATGGAATAAAAATTGGTTAAAAAAAAAAAAAGGACAAGGTCTCATAGTTGATATTTATCAACCTGTTTATGTTCTGCTTGTCTTTTCTGGATGCTTGAAAATGAAATTATCATTCTGGCAATTTTGTCTTATAGCATTTTGTATAATGCTATTAATCTCAAGTTTATACATGATCACTGCAAATATTTTATATTTGTCAAGTTTGTTCTTAAATTAGAAATACAGATTTTAAGTGTGAAGTGTCACAGTATTGTGGGATATATATGTTCTATTTTTAGCAACTCTTTTAAACGTATTATTTGTGTGATTACTTTAGTGATAAATTGCTTCTTACTTTGAAGGCAATTTGTTAATCTGGGGGCAAACTATATAACTTTAAGAAAACCGAATGATTTTTGCTAAGTCTTGGACTAGATGTATTTTTTTGTGCACTTCAGTGGATATGTTGCCAATGTTTCCACAGTAGTTTTATCCCACTAGAATTGCGATTTGATAATCAGGCCAAATTATAGGTTGTTAGAAAAACATATATGAATGTGCTACATAAACAAGATTGAAATAAATCAGACTCATTTTATCAGTGGTTTATTAGTGAGTTAAGACTGAATTTATTTTTTAAAGGCTTACAAAATAACTTTATTGGTAGAGGTGTTAAATGTGAAAAGTTCAGCTAATTTCTACTGACCCTACTTCTGTTTCTGCTTTTGTGTTTTCATCCTTTCTGAATATTTTCTAACACTTGCTTTCTATGCACTCTATCATTTTTTTCAGAAACTTATAGAATCGTTGGTAGACACATTTGTGTTGTAATGGAATCTTCACCAGAGTCTTCAACAATCTAGGCACCTGAATAATTAGTGACATGGGATAACTATTAGTAAATCTAATTGAATCCTGTATTGTTGTTCAAAAAGCCTCCAGTAATTTTAATGTTGATAAATAGTAAGATTGATGGTGATTGTGTTTGTGTGTGCATATATGTATATTCATAGTAAAAAGATGATAGAATGCAAGTTTGATTGGAAATCATGAGAATTTTAGGCAATTAATAATTTGCCAGGAGGGAGCAGTCGCTGGAGAAGGATATCATGTTTGGTAAGGTGGAGAGTCAGAGGAAAAAGAGGAAGACTCCCCCAACGAGATGGATTGGCCAAGTGGCAGCATTGATGGACTCAAGTGTGGCAACAATAGTGAAGATGGCCCAGGATCGGGCAGTGTTTCGTTCTGCTATGCATAAGGTCGTTATGGGTCGGTTCCAACTCGATGGCACCTAACAACAACAACAATAATTTGCTTTGAATTTGGCACTATTGTCAAGCTCATTTTTCAAATTTCCTTTGTTGGATGGTAGAGTATATTTAGATAAGATTTTGCTTTGAAAATGTATGCACTCTAAATCATTGAAGATCTCTTAGCACTCGCTGAGTACTGCTAGACACGAAACTTTTCTTATATCTAAATGTTTTATGAGCTTATTTTGACCCTTAAAAATAATTAGTTTGCTTCCAAATGCCCCAGAACATTTGCCAGTGAGTAAAGTGTTATTAAATGCCTTCAAGTTGGTTCCAACTTACTGCAACACTGTAGAGTTCCCAAGACTGTACGTCTTTATAGGAGTAGAAAGCCTTATCTTTCTCCCAAGGAACTCTTGGTGGGCAATAGCTGGCCTTGCGGTTAGCAGCCCAACATGCTACCTACTAAGCTATCAGAGCTCCTGAGTAAAAATAAATAGGTGAGTAAATTGTTGTTGTTAAGTGCTATCGAGTTGGTTCTGACTCATAGCAACCCTGTATAGGGTTTCCAAGGAACGGTTAGTGACTTTGAACCACTGATTTTATGGTTCAGTCGGTCCAGTGCTTTATCCCAAAGCACCATACCAGGACTCTAGATGACTGTAAGAATGGCATGATGGATAAAAACCTTCACCTAGGGGGTCTTTTTAAGGAGCTCTGGTAGGGTAGTGGATTATGCATCTGGCTGCTAGCCACAAGGTCATCAGTTCGAATCTACCAGCTGTTCCACGGGAGAAAGATGAGACTTTCTGCTCCCGTAAAGACTTACAGCCTCAGAAACACTATACAGGGTTGCTATGAGTCAGAACTGACTCCACGGCAAACCGCCACCACCATGGATTCTTTTCAGAATATGATAACACTATATCTATAAATATCTGCCTTGGCCATAAAATCCAGTTAGCAGAATCATCCTTGTATGTCAGTAACAATACAAGATATTGAAAATATTTCTTGGTAATGCCTTCATTTGCTTGCCCTTTCAGTTACAAATTAGCAGAAAATACAGATGCTCAGCTGAAACTTATTTCCCAAGATCTCAAGGACATTATTGGATACCTGAATGCATTTGAAAGTCCTACTGACACTACTGACCCAGTGAGTTTACTGCTTCATGTAGCCAACCACCTCCTGTCTTCTGCACCTGCTGCTAGAGATGTGAAACTCTGGAGTAGGTTTAATAGGGTAGGGGGTATTTAGAAGCATAAATATGAGGGTTTTGCGGTTATTCCTAGGAACCTAACAAATGACTTTGATCTCCCATAGTTTTCCTTTGAACTTCTGGTTTTCACATGCCTAAATATGTTCCTATACTTATTTCTTCTGTCCATTTCATAATTAACTAAAATCAAATCTATTGCTGTAGAGTCGGTTCTGACTCAAGGCAATCACATGAGTCACAGAGTAGAATTGCTCCACAGGATTTTCTTGGCTATATCTTTACGGGAGCCATAGCACCAGGCCTTTCTTCAGCAGTGCTGTGGGATGGCTTCAAACCACCAGCCTTTAGTTTAATAGACTAAAAGCCAACCTGTTACTTTAGAATCCACGCAACTTATAGCAACCTCATGTATTACAGACTAGAACTGTGTCATAAGGTTTTTTTTGTTGTCTATAGTGTTTACAGAAACAGATGGCCAGGCCAATCTGCTGTGGCACCATTGGTGGCTTCAAACCACCAAGCTTTAGATTAGTGTTGTTGTTGTTTTTGTTGTTGTTAAGTGCTGTCGAGTCAGTCGGTTCCAACCCATAACGACCCTATATAGGGTTTCCAAGGAGTGACTGGTGAGCTTGAACCGACGATCTTGTAGTTCAACTGAACCTTGCAGTCCAGCACATTACTCCACAGTCAAGTACAAACCATTTGTGCCACCCTGGGATAACTGGATATCAACATGCAAATGAAGTTCATTCTTTTACATATTTATCTATTCTCTCATATAAATGTGAATATAAATATATATATAAATTCTTTAGGCACATCCAGCCAGTTATACATTTATAAATAGGTTCTGTCTTATGGTTTAATAAGTCAACTATTTGAGACTTAATAAAATACGAGGGGACTTCCAAAAATATATGGAAAAACATCATTATCTTTTCATTCCATTTTTCCATGATGTTTTTGAAGCTCCCTTGTACGTGGTGATAGTTCTTTATTAAATTCATTGTCCAATTATATATAGACAAATCTCTATATACATATAGCCAGCTTTTATAATTATAAAGAAACAGCATGATATAATTGAGAAAGCATTAGAATTTTCAGCCACTTAACCTTTCTAGGTCTTGGCTCCTTTTGTATAATGTAATCAATTGACAAAATAATCTTTAATTCCCATTCATCTATGAAAATTATGCCATTGTGAAATGTTGTGTTACCTATATTTTTACAACAATAAAAAACATGCCGTTTTCTGCTTTGTGTGGATCTAAAGTTGAGCCCTGATGTGGCACTGTAGGATAAGCACTGTACTGGTAACTACAAGGTTACCAGCTGCTCTCAGAAACCCTGTACAGGGTCATTATGAGTTGGAACCAACTCTATAGCACACAACAACAAAAGTCAAACAAAGCCAAATTAGTCTGGGATTATCCATATTGTCATCTTCTTGTGTTTCCCGAGATGACCAAGAGCTGATAGAATATAGATTTTCTTTTTAATGAAATACTAGATCATTATTGTGATTCCAAAGATGTCCTGATTCAGTGCTTCGCTGCTAACTGAAATGTTGGCAGTTCCAACCCACCCAGTGGCTCTTCTAGAGAAAGATCTAGTGATAAGCTTTATGAAGATTACAGCCAAGAAAACCCTAGCGAATAGTTCTACTCTGTCACGTGAGCTTACTATGAGTTGGAATCAACTCCAAGACACTCAACAGCAACGTGGTGATTCCAAATCTCAAAATTGTTTTGTAAAAGCGTTTTGATGTATCTGTAGATTTATATAGATTTGCACATGAAACAGAGCTAATATTGAATGAAAATGAGAAATGTTCTGAACATAGTAAAATGAAACTGTAATCCTATCCTTATTCCTTTTCTCAATTGAGCCCTGGATTGTTGTATTTTCTTTCAGTGGTGGATAGTGAATAGTTAGAATCTGTTTGCTTTTGTTTTTCCTGGCGGGGTGATTGGGATGTTTGAGATGAGTGAATTAAAGGATAATTGCTGCTTGATGGCAGGACCAAAGCAGCCCAAAGAAATCAGCTACAACTCAGCTCTATTCTCAGCATAAATCATTGTAAAGGAAGCAGAGAAGCATTTGCTGAACAATAATATTCTTATAGATAATTTATTGTAACTCACTTAACAAAGGTTCCTTACCATGAACCATATGCCAGAGCAGAAAAATTGCAGCTATTTGCACTAGTATTCACTGTGATAGGATATAATAACTCTTTTCTTTTTTGTTTTCAGAGTGGAAGAGAGTTAAACTGCCTAATATTATTTAAATTTTTATTAAGCAATTGCATGTTATGCCATTAAGATATTTAATCACAGTTTCATTGTTCTTGCTACAAATTATATTTCTCTTTGCTATACTAAAATACACTAAATATACTGTGTTCTTTGCATACTGCTTCCTTTTAAGTGTGCTAACATTTTTTATTCCCTCCTATTTTCAGTATTATTCTGGATGCTAGAATATGTGTCAAAAAATGTTCTAGAAAAATTTAAATGCTTAGTATTTTATTTAAAGAGCCCTGGTAGTGTAGTAGTGAGTTGCATGATGGGCTGCTAACCCACAAGGTCAGCTGTTCAAATCCATCAGCTGCTCCACAAGAGAAGAATGAGGCTTTCTGCTCCCCTAAAGATTTACAGCCTCAGAAATACTATGCAGGATCTCTGAGTCCAAACCATCTCTACAGCACACAGCAGCAATATTTTATTTATTACAAAGACAATGCATATCCAGAATGGAGAATTTAGAAAATCTAGGCATCTGTAAACAAAATCAAGTCATCGGTACCACTACTACCCTGTAGTATTTTGTTATGTTGGTAAACTTGCTTATTTTGTTTTAAACAGCATTGGGGTCAGTGTTGTTGAGTGCCACTGAGTCACTTTTGACACATAGCAACCCTGTGTAGTGTTTCCCAGGAGTGGCTGGTGGGTTTAAGCTTCTGACCCTATGGTTAGCAGTCCAGTGCTTATCCTAGAGCACCACGCCAGGACTCCATTTGGACCATGGTGATGGTGGTGGTGGTGGTGGTGGTGGTGTGCCTTTGAGTCGATTCCGATTCACAGCAACCCTATATAGGGCTTCCGAGGCTGTAAATCTTTACATGAGCAGAGAGCATCAACTTTTCTCCCACAGAGCAGCTGATGAATTTGAACACCTGACCTTGTGGTTAGCAGCCCAACACATAGCTCACTATGCCATCAGGGCTCCTTCTATTGGAGGATTTTGTTTCCTGTCTTCTTTTAATATTCTTACATGATCTTTCCCCAAAATTTTAATTATTCTCTGAAAACATGAGTTTTTATGACTACAATGTTTTATCAGAAATGACTTTCCCCTAATACATTTAGTTATTTTTTTTATTGGTGGAGATATTTTTCCCATTTTTGGCTATTTTTAAATAGCACTATAATGGCCAGTTATGTTTAGATTTGATTATTTCCTTTATATGTTCCTAGAATTATTATATACTGAGTTAAGAGTTATGAATACATTTAAGACTTTTGGTATTGTTGCTAAGTGCCATTGAGTCGATTCTGACTCATAGCAACCCTGTATAGGGTTTCCCAGGAGCAGCTGATGGGTTTGAACTGCGGACCTTTCAGTTAGCAGTCCTGTGCCTATCCACCAGTGCTACACCAAGACTTTAGTATATATATATAATTTTTTTGAGAGTCTGGGTAAATTAATATGACTATTGGCTTTATATGGAGTTCTGGTGTGGCATTGTGGGTTAATGCACCAGACTGCAAGGTCGGCGGTTCAAGCTCACCAGCTGCTCTTTGGAAATCCTATACAGGGTTGCTATGAGCCGGAAGTGACTCAACAGCACTTAACAACTACATTGGCTTTATATGGGTGTACCTATTTTTCACACACATTTGAGAACTAGGTATTACCATGTATAAAATTTGCTAATTTGGTTGACAAAAGGTAATGTTTTTAAATGTTTATATGAATGTAATTTGTTATGAAATGTTTCCTATGTTCTTTACTTATTTTTGTACTGTGGTTACTTGTTTCGTACAGTTTCTTATTGAATTGTTGTGATTTCATTTCTAACAGTTTGAAAATAATTAGATTGAACCAATGTAAAGATTAATGAACATTGTTAATAGGAAATAGCAAAAGTTAATGAAATTCCGTTAATATTTAGTACATTCTGAGTCCATTTCTTAAACAAAATTTCAATTTCTTTCTTTCTACCTTGTTTACCACATTAAATAATTAGAATCTTAAAATCTTATATGTGTTTTTAGATCCAACAGATCTGTAAAATTCTGAATGCTCAGATGGAGTCTCTGCAGCATATTGATCAAAATTCAGGTAGGAGTTCATTTGTATACCAAGCTGTACATATTATAAATAGAAAATGTGCTACAAGTCAGATTGTGGGTTCCAAGACTGCACTCATAAATAAGAACTCAGTTGTAGAGGTGTTGCTTAACCTATGGTATGTCTACAGTAATTCTGAAGAACTATAATTATTATTTTTTATAAAATGAAATATAGGAAAGATAAACTAGAACCTAAAGAAAATAGAGGGTACATAAGAACAAAGGAGCTCTGGTAGCGTAGTGGTTACAAATCGGGCTGCGAACCTTAAGGTCAGCGGTTCGAAACTACCAGCTGCACCGCGGGAGAAAGATGAGGCTTTCTACTCCCGTAAAGATTTACACCCTCGGAAACCCTATACAGGGTCGCTATGGGTCGGAAACGACTCGATGGCACATAACAACAACAACAACAGAGTGAAAGAAGTGGGGATAGAAAGAAACAGGATTTCTCTGATTGTACTTTCTTATATGCTTTTGACTTTTGGACTATATAATTGTTCTATATATTCAAAAAAATGGAATTAAGCCATAAAAGGATGGGGGAAAGACAAATTCTAAAATTTAATGCAAACTGAAATGAATGAACCTATTTAAAAATGTATAATCATGTAGTTCAGATAACTTTTGAACATAGTGCTTTGACAATGCATCCTTACTAATATGTGGTCTTAGGATAAAAGCACTATAAAGAAATATAAAACTTTCTTAATTGATTTCTTATTAATTTCCAAATTATAATGCCAGTATTACTAATAGTTTATATGCATTATAGGATAAAGTAAATGAATAAGTATATTAATACTTAGTCATAGAACCAAGATTTTCACTGTAAGATGAGAGAAACAAGTTATTTTTACTTTCCTTTTTTTAATTGATTATAAATTTGAATATTAGTATAAGTTCCTATTTCCTTGTTCTGAAGCAGTGATCTACACCCCAGTAGCAGTGAGCACATTCAGCACCAGATCTTGCTTTCTAAATACCGTCACACTAAAAAGAACCAAGGTGCTTTGAGAAATATTTGATCCCAGGTCTTAGGCATGGTAAGCTTGACACTTTTAGTGCCAGAAATCTAGGATTATTCAGAAGTACTCAGGTCATTTCAGGAAATAAGACTATGCCTAATGAAGCTCATACTGGCAAAATTAGGATTATTTGAGCATTAAAAAAATAAAATAATAATAGTAATGACAGTATGGATTAGAATACATTGAATTAAAAAAGAGAGAGAGAAAAAAACACGAATCTCAAATATAGAGAGTGAAATGGGAGGTTCAGGGAAAAGTCTTTACAGAAGCATGCCAGCTAATAATTGTAGAAGGAATTGTTGTTGTTGTTAGGTGCCATCGAGTTGGTACCGATGCACAACAGAATGAAACACTGTCTGGTCCTGGGCCAACCTCACAATCATTGCCACGCTTGAACCCATTGATGCTGCCACTTTGCCAGTCCATCTCACTGGGGGTCTTCCTCTTTTTCTCTGACCTTACCAAACATGATAACCTTCTCCAGTGACTGGTCCCTCCTGACAGTATGTCCTAAGTATGAAAGACAAAGTTTGGCCATCCTGGCCTCCTAGGAGCACTCTGGTTACACTTCTTCCATACAAATCTGTTGGTTCTTTTGGCAGCCCGTGGCACTTTGAATATTCTCCAACACCATTAACTCAGTTCTTCTATGGTCTTTCTTATTCATATGCTTTCACATGCATATGAGGTTATTGAAAATACCATGACTTGGGTCAGGTGCACCTTAGTCCTCAAGCTGACATCTTTGCTCTTCAACACTTTAAAAAGGTCTTGTGCAACAGATTTGCCTAATGCAATACATCGTTAAATTTCTTGACTGCTGCTTCCGTGAGTGTTGATGATTGGTTGATCCAAGAAAAATGAAGTCCTTGACAATTTCAATCTTTTCTCTGTTGATAAGAATATTGTTTATTGGTCCAGTGGTGAGGATTTTTGTTTTCTTTACACTGAGATGTAATCCATACCGAAGGCTGTGCTCTTTGATCTTCATCAGTAAATATTGTAAGTCCTCTTCACTTTCAGCAAGCAAGGTTGTATCGTCTGCATATGGCAGGCTGTTAATGAGTCTTCCTCCAATCCTGATGCTACATTTTTCTTCATATAACCCAGCTTCTCGGATTATTTGCTCAGCATAGAGGTTGAATAAGTATGATGAAAGAATACAACCCTGTCACACACCTTTCTTAATTTTAAACCCTGAATGCGCCCGAGCTCTGATCTCGGAAGTTAAGCAGGGTCAGGCCTGGTTAGTACTTGGATGGGAGACTGCCTGGGGATGGATACCCCGTGCTGTAGGCTTTACTACCACTCATCTAATCTATCAGTTTGTCGTACTGTGATGGCTTGTGAGTTGCTGTGATTCTGAAAGCTATGCCACAGGTATTTATTTTAAATACCAGTAGGGTAGAAGGAATTGGAGCATTAGAAAACCACCATTAAAAAAAAAATTCAGCTGAACATTTATTAAAGTGCACTCTAACCTTGAAGACTCTGTTTAATTTATCAAATATTATCGTTTTCAGTCATTTCTTGGCAGAAAAAAATAAGCTAGCATAATAGGGCCAAAAACAGACTGAGCTAACTTTTCTTTTTAAGTTTTATTGAGGTATAGTTTACATGCCATAAAATTCACCCATCTTATGTGTACAATTCAATGTGAAAATCACCATTTTTGCAGCCCCAACTTAGTAACTAATTCATGCAGAGGTTGTCAGTGAATGCTAAAACTATTGAGTTAAAGATTGTTGGGCCACATGATATTTGCTTGTCTTAAAAAGTATCACCCTCTAAAGATTACTTTTTAATAACAAAAGAGAAAAGATGCATAGTGTGGTGCTGTAGGTTAACGAACCAGACTGCAAAGTCGTTTGAACTGCAAGGTTGGCGGTTCAAGCTCACCAGTTGCTCTTCAGAAACCCTATACAGGGTCGCTATGGGTTGGGATTGACTCGATGACACTTAACAACAACAGCAATTTTAATCAAGTAATCAAAGTTAGCATCACCAATAGTGAGAGAACTTGACCTTATATGCCCCCATATATGAGATAAGAAGTATACTTTACTTATGTAGTGTTCTTACTAAAAATATTTAGCCTGAATCTAACAATAAGAAATTACAGACATTTTATGTATGAAGCATTATATAATTATTTGACTTGGCCTCTTTAAAATATCAATCATGAAAAACAAAACAAAACTCAATATATGTTATCCTTGACTGGATACTGGATCAAAACCAAATTAATATACTATCTAAAACAATTGGGGGAATTGGATATGCAATATATATTAAATGATATTAAGTAATGATTGTTCTTTCCTTAGGGATGATAGTTACTGTTGTGATGTAGGAAAATGTCCATATTATTAGAAGGTGCTCACTAGTCTCCTAGAAGTTTACTTCTAATTACTTGAGCTAAAAGCATTAGTGAAGAGAAAGAGGTCTAGGTAAAAGATATGTGTTTATTTTTGTTTTTACTATTCTCTCTACTTTTCTGTAGATTTAAACTAAAAATTTTGGGGAAATATATAGAATTTGCCTAAATATGGCATATGATTAGAACTCATTGATCACTTACTATTTGGAAAGATGAAGTATTAAAATATAATCAATTTTCTTATCTGGCATTCTAGATTCCTCGTTCTCTGCACAAACATAGACTTCTTCAGCTTCTTTCCCTTTCCTCAATACCAGAATCTTCACCCATCTTTCTTGTGTTAGAGGAAGAAATGTTCTATTCCTTTCTAAACTGTTTGGAATCATCAGAAAGAGATTGCATTCTCTATTGCCTTACAATGTTTTGAATAACTTGATATGGGGCAGGTTTCTGAGTCTGACAGATAGGGTTCCAGTTGAAATATTACTACTTAATAGTTGTATGGCCTTAATCTTAATCTCTCTGGTTTTGTATCATTTTTAAAATGAAGGACGATACTTTCTTTGAACTTGAGAAATGCTGAGTGTGTTCTTCCCTTTTGGTTTTCTAACTCCAGACCTTAGCACATTTTATTATAATGCTTTACTCTGGCTTCTCCAGCTGCCCTTTGAAAATTTCTGTTCAACTCTTTTGCTTCCTTATTTCTTCTGGTTGTTCTAGTTTCTCTACCCTCAAGAGCAAGTTTCAGAGTCTCTTCCAACATCCATTTTGATCTTTTCTTTCTTACCTGTCTTTTAAATGACTTTTTGCTCTCTTCATGGATGATGCTATTGATATCATCTCACAATTCTTCTAGTCTTCAGTCATTAGTGTTATGCATCAAATTAGTTCTTGAGATGATCTCTAAGTTCAGGTACAATATATTCAAGGTCATATCTTGGCTTTTATGGACCTGCCTTAATTTCCTTCAGCTTGAACCAGAAGTTACATATGAGCAAGTGATGGTCTGTTCCACATTTGGCCCCTGGCCTTTTTTTGACTGATGATATTGAGTTTCTTCATCATCTTTTTCACACAAATGTAATCACTTTGATTCCTATGTATTCCATCTGGTGAGCTTCACATATATAGTCGACATTTATGTTGTTGAAAAAAGTTATTTGCAGTAAATAATTCATTGATCTTGCATAATCTTGATCTATCATCAAGACCAAACTTTCCAACTACTGATCCTTCCTCTTTGTTTTCAACTTTTCACATTCCAATCAATGCATCTCAATTGCATGTTTGATCAATTTCAGACTTAAAAAGTTGGTAGAATTCTTCAATGTCATCATCACGGGTTTTAGTGGTTGGTGTACGTTTTTGAATAATAATGATATTGCCTGGTTTTCCTTGAAGGCATATGGATATTATCATTTCACAGAGCATTGTACCTCAGGATAGATTGTGAAATGCCCTTTTTGACAATGAATTTGATGGCATTAGTCTTAAATTTGTCTTTCCTGGCATAGTAAACCTTATGGTTGTCAGATTCAAAATGTCCAATACCAGTCCACTTCAGCTCACTAATTCCTAGGT